TGGTCATGAAAACTTACCCTCTGATCTTTATTTAATTTTATACTATTTTATTAATTAGACACAGTGCTTCCTGATCACAAGCCACATGCATTTGCTCAGGTCTGAGATCAGGATGCCTCCGAGAAGATAGCACTGGCAGTGTTATATTTGTTTCTCAAAGTACTCCTAGTACATACTGTTCTATTTTTAATAACAGCCCAGAAAAGGAAATCCTGGAGATTTCTTGTGAACAGATAAAGATGCAGGCTGGCTGTGTAATTTCTAGCTTAAATTTTTAAAATCCCCAGTGACATTAGTTGGAGAGAAAGATATCTGTTCTTTATATTATGTATCTAATTTTAATTTTTCTTGGACCATTATATATTCAAAGCAAAGGTGGCCTAATTCATGTTTACATTTATTAAATATATATTCCATAATTTGCCCAGGATTTCAAGGTTCTGTTCTTACCAGTACTTCATCTGATTTTTCTTCACAATAATTGTATGAGGTAGGCTAGGATGAGAATAGCAATTAGCCCAGTTCTCTTAGTGAAATTAAGTGGCTAAGAGTAGATCTGAACCTAGATCTCCTTAGACTGGATCATGAGTGATAACTGTTGCACTGCCTTGGCTGCTGCTCATATTTAAAAGAATAATCCCAAGTCAAACTTACTACACTGCGGAGTGAAGCATTTTGTTTTAGAAAGTGTATAAATATATAAAGGGACCAATATCTTTGTAATACGAGAAAACCTTACAATTCAGTATTTGCTAGGCAGATGATAGACTTAGGCACCAATCCAGGCAGCTGAATTTGAACACATAATCTTTCACTTTGTGATATTCACTATTTAAATTTACACACTAATAATCTTTATCCTTGGACATTTGATATATTTCTTATCTTTATTTTCTAAGCTAAAAACTAGCATGCCTCACCCTGGGTCAGGATGATTTTGGTAGTGATCAGTTAAAGGTCATCATCCTTCCTGGATCATCCAATTTATTCCATTGTGCTCTATCTCTTCAAATTTTGGGCCCAAACTTACTTTTCCCCACCTATTATATACAAATCTAATACATATAATTGCAATAGGCAACATTCATTTTTTTATTCCAATTCCCTCTGCTTGTTAAAATGTAGTTTGCAAGCCCCTGCTTGCAGAATTATGATAGCTTAGTTTGTAATAGTCCGTGAGTCTTCTGAAATTTATGATTTCACTAGGAAAATCCAGCGTACTAGTCATATAACAAGTAAATCTGGTTTTTTTGCTTCTCAGGCTCTGCAAGAGCAGGTTTATCTAACCTTATATATGTATACCTATCTGCTTCACAGATATACAAATCATGACTTTCTTCCATAATTTATCCAATTTTGATTGACTGCTTTTCTGAAAGAAACACAGAGCACCCTTCTCCAAATGAACATGTGGGACTGCAACTCTCAGAACTGGGTCAATCTGGTTGGGGATTCTGACAGTTAATGTTCCACAACATCAATATGTGGCAGGTTGGCACAGACTGGGGTAGAGCTTTCCAATAAAGGATAACTTGCACCAACTCCTAAATGTTGTTTCCATGATAAACATGGCACTATTGGAATACAGAGCTGAGACCTATTTGCTAATGGAAGTCTGTAATTTTATTAAGTGTAGAACTATTCTGACCCACGCTCTTATCCAACAAATCAAACACAATCCAAAGGGAACAGAAACCTTTTAATGCTTCTGCAAAATAATTAGCTGTGATAAGCACAAGCCTTGCCAAACTGTGCGAGACTGCCAAAAGATAACAGACAAGAAATAATTTGCAATACAAAAATCTTCGAATACAAACGCAGGACACTGGAATGTCCACGAGGTTGGAGTTTCAAAACGTCTTTGCCTTCTGCAAAGAACGTTCGTTTCACAGCTGGCTTTTATCTTCTTGAAGGAGGGGCCATTACCTTGCAGCCTTACTCCCGGGTTGCCCGTGCTGTTGTAGCTGCTCTTTCCTGCAAGCAATTCTGTGTGCACACGCATTTGGCAAAGGCTCTTTGGGAACCAACTCATCACTGCTGCCAGCCCCTCAATCTCTGAAGGCAGCAGGAAATGGTCCTGGCCCTTCATCTATGTCCTCGCTCTCCTTAGCCGTCCGCACCTGCTGCCAGCTAACCACAACAAGAACTGTGCTGTGCTTTAATAAATTCATGATTTCAGACTGATTTGGTGGAAAAATTTCTAAATCTTTGTATAGGTTTGATGTTGATTTTTTTTTTTTTTTGCTTATTTACCTCCTATCTGTTTCCAAGTTGTGGAGGACACCTAGTTGGGGGGGGGGGGTATCTCCATTTTATCCCCAGAACATTAGCCTGTGAAATACTTTAAGCTGAGAAACAGTGACCGAAATCATAATGGTTTTTCCAGGCCTAATTCAATCAGGCCTAATAATTACTGAATTGCACTATATTGTGTCATGCAAAGAAGATTATTAATTGTTCTTATTTGCACACAACTCCAAAATAGTGATAATTTCCCTTGAGGAGGAAGTTAGAACTCTTCTCTCTGTTTTGGCTTTGGGGAAGATAGTTTTGGCACAAGGATACATTGTTCCACTGTTGGCAAGAGGTAGTTGGTGCAGTAACACAAGAAGATACCACCATTGCTCTGTTCCTTGCCCCTGGTTTTTTACTTTGTTCTAATCTTTTCTAATTTTAATCTGTTTTTATATTTATAATTGTTTTTAATCTGTATTTATTACATGGTAAGTTTCTCAGAGTCTCCTCAAACTGCAAGATGGGCAGAATATAAATTTAATAACTAATAATTTAACTACTGATTTAGATAATTCAGACCACTTATTCATGTGTTTGTGGAGCCATCCTTGAAAAAAATTTTAAACATGAACTATAACTCCGCAATGGGTTATGATAGCAATTAGGACTGGAATTTCCATCACTATGTGATGTGTCTGTAAAGCATGAGATGTCACAAGGCCACATTGCACAGCAACAGCAATCCAGGAAGTACTGTGATGTGACAGCAATGTGGGAAAAGGCAGGAACCCCAGGCAAGCAGGTGAGTTCTATAGGTTAGAGCAGGGGTCTTCAAACTTGGCAAGTTTAAGACTTGTGGACTTCAACTCCCAGAATTCCTCCTCCAGTCATGGTAACTCAGGAATTCTGGGAGTTGAAGAACACAAGTCTTAAACCTGTCAAGTTTGAAGACCCTTGGGTTAGCGCCACATACAGGCTGGTGGGGTTTACAGGCAGGTGCTACATAACATGAACAGATAGATGGGTTGTTGTCCCAGGAATGCAACTATTGCAAGCAGATGCTACAGAGCAGGGCAGATGCCATGGCCAGGCACTAAGAAGCATAAGAAAGCGAAAAAGTGATGGGAGCGACTTGTGACCTGTCGACTTCCCACTGACTTTCTTTGTGTAGCAGATGACAATCATGTGCCCATGGGACACTGCAGCCATTGTTATTCCAAGCCAGTTGTCAAGCGCCTGAATAGTGATCATGTTACTACATGGACATTGCAAAGTCCACGTAAATCGCAAAGGCTGCAATTTTACAAACCAATCACAAGTCCCCTTCATTTAGTGCTGTCATAAACATTTGAACAGTCACTGAACGAGTAATCATAATCTTAATGACTACCTGTATAGAGTAGGAGCTGTCCTTTCCTTTAGCAGGAGAGTCTTTAATAAAATGAGGCCACCAAGGAGAAGGCCACCTGGCCCATACTCCATAAACTTCATTTGTAGGGGCACCTAAACAGGCCTTACCTAAATGAATGGAGCAAGATGGGCAGAATTGATTTTGACATGGCCTTGCCTGAACTATTTCAGTTCAGTGCTGCATTCTAAATAGCTTGTAAGTATGATAACCAGCATTTTTAATTAAGTCAAAGATCTTATTAATGACCGGCACATCAATTTCAGGAGATGTTCTTGCCTGAAAGAGTTGTCAGATACCTGGCTGCCATGACTTACTTCATAGTTTGCATGGCTACTCACTTAGATCCAGATTTCATAATTGCTGTCTGATTGGAACTGTAGCTAGCCCATGCTTCTTTAGAGACAGATGTATTAAAACCACTATGATTTATTAGCCAGAACTGTTTCATGTATAAAGAGCATTGGTTGCATAATACCACAACATCCATTTTAACTTGCTTATGTAAATGATCTAAGATAGTTTCTATAGGTAGTGCTGTATGAAAAATCAAAAGTATGAATCAGTTCACATGTGTGTGTGAGTAATTGAATGCTTATGTAAGTTAGCATTTTCCTCATTGTGAAGAATGTTTGGCTCAATGAAAATTTAAAAACAAAACAATTATGAATACAAAGGGGGAATAAATGGTGGGTTTAAGGCTATTATCTTTGTAAATACTGTGTATTATACTAGGAGAGGTAAGACAATTTTCTATTTAACAAAGCTCTCTTTTTTCCATTTATTTTAGAATGTACACAGGTTGTTAGCCTTTTAACGATGTTTAGATGAGAGATCAACATGCAAAACCATAAGAACTAATAAAACCTTAGGAGATACATATATAAAATCAGTTAAGGGTTTTTGTTTTGTTTCTTCTGATATTTCATAGGAGTTGTATTTTTGTATCTCATTAGCTATAAAATAAATTGTTTCTTGACACCAATGGGAACAATCTTCATACATTTCATCATTGTAACAATATTAAATGGAGCATTAACAAAATGAATATTGACATTTGTTTCCTTTACCCTTGTGGGTTTATAATTAACATCCAACTCTGGCTTGAAATTCATATTTTTCTGTCTCCCTTTCTCATAGTAGTACAATTCTCTTTAAATAAATTCCTGAAATATATTAACATTTATATGTGATATAAAGATCATTGCTTCCTATGTCTAAAATCATGGACATTTTCAGAACTAGAGAGAAAATAAGAAAAGTATTAGACAGTTATTTCAGCAATGCCAGTAATATACTTCTTCATATCTATGTTCCGTTATTAGCAAAGCTAACTCTTTCTCTGTTTCTCTCATAGGTAAGATTTTATTATGCCGGCCGGATTCTTCCGGGTGTGCTTGGTGGTAATAACAGCTATTATCAACCATCCACTTCTCTTCCCAAAGGAAAATGTTACTGTTTTTGAAAACACAGAAGAAATCATTGAAAAGATGAAAGAGCGTGAGGAAAATCTGAGGCTAGAGCAGCTGAAACTGGAGCAGGAATTAGCAGCACAGGAAGTTTCAGTGGATTCTTCAGAGAAGACTGAACCAGAAAAACAGTATGACCATGATTCACTTTCTTGGAATTTCTGGACTGCTTTGTCCATGATAGTCTTTCTTCTAATTGAATTCTGGAGACAGGATTACCAGGAAGGGAACTGGCAAGATTATACCAAAGAAGATGATGAAATTAATGTCCTGGGAAGAACATTCAAGGGTTTTATTCTACCAGACAAAGTTACATTGGATAGTTTTTATGAAAGATGTCTCCAGAATGTAACAAATGATATTGCTAGGAACCGAGAGCTTGTGGAAGGCTTTGCAGATGACTTATTAGAAGCTTTGAGAAGCGTGTGTAACCGAGATACTGACATGGAAGTGGAAGAGTCTATAGGAGTTGGGAGCATGTATGAAAATTGGAGAACAAACAAGCCTTTCACTTGTGATTTCATTGTCCCCTTTAATCCCCCAGAGCCGTATTGTTTCCAATTTGAGACTTGGTGTTCAGGAGAGTCTGTTCTACCAGACAAAGGAAGTTATGGCATGATAAAGATCATCCGGTCAGATGAGAGCTCATCAAGTTGTATCTGTGATAAAACTAAATTGGGGGAAGATTTACTTTGTCTACTTCACAGCAAAGTGAGCCAAACTAGACAGAGTAACCATATGGAAGATCTCCTTTGCTTCAAAGATACTCAGTATCTTGATTCTGACCAAGTTATGACATGGTTCCAGATGGCACTTACCAAGGGATGGAATAAAATTGCACACAAGTATGAATTCAGTCTTATTTTCAATCACCTGGATACTCCAGGTGCCCTGAAAATCAAGTTCAGGTCTGGAAAAAGCATCACATTCAATCTCAGGCCTGTGGTACAATACGCAGATTCTGATGTATATTTTATCTCTCACTTTCCATTCAACAGCTTGGCACCGAGTTTCACTACCAACACTCACTGGTTTCTTACCTTTACTGTGTATGAGAAGAGATATATCCAGTTTATTTCCAAAACTTTGCCTGCTAATCCTTGCCACCTCAGTTGCCTCCAGATTTTGTCTTTCCTTCATGGAAAGCAGTGCAGTCTGACAGAACCGAGTAGCCTGACAAACTATCATTTCAAAACAGTAATGCTGCATTTGCTACAAATCCATCCTAGTTCAGCATGGACTTCTGACTGTCTGGAGGCCAGGCTGCAAGATGTACTCAACTTTTTGGAGAAAAGCTTGCAAGAAAAAAGGCTTTACCACTTTTTCATTGGAAATAGAAATCTGCCACAGGAACTGGGTGTTCCAGTGGAGTTTCAAAAGGCAGAACCACTGAACCTTTTCCGGCCCTTTGTACTGCAGCGAAGCACTTATAGAAAAGCTATGGACATGTTCCACGAGATGCTTAAGAATACATCAGCTTTAATTAATGAATATTCCATGCATGTTCAAAATGGACGGGCAATTCCACTAAATAAAGATCTTCTGTGACAGCTCCTTTGACAGCTACCATATATGTAAATCTCCCCATGGGAGAAGACATGTAGAATTTACAGATATCTGTACAACAAATACCATTCTCATTTCCTTTCCAATGATCTTGGCTGATATTTATGCAACCTTCAACATTTTTACCACTGTGTATTTCTTCGTTGTAATGAGTTTAAGCAAGGAAAAATATTTTTAATTTATTATATTACAGTTTTAGGAATATAATGGTATCTGTGTTAAGTGTTTTATTATTGCTGCTGTGGCAAAGTACCGTGGCCAGACTGAAAAAGAGTGCCTTCTTTATAAGGTCTAACATATTTAATGAGAGAAGGATGATGTACAATTAAGTAATAGATCTTCAGTCTTGTTCCCTTCCAATTGATATAAAATTCTACTACCAGGATTTTTAAAATGTAATTTTAATTTAGTTTAGATATATGTGGCAAAACCTGGTTCCATATAACTTTATGCATTTGACAGTGAAATTCCAAATTACACCTTTAGAAACAGATCCTACTAAATTTGAAACAGCTTACTTCTAAGGGATCTCAACTTAAATAGGCTTGACATACTTGCAGTGAGAAACTCTTCAGCAGGTCCAACTTTGCTCATCTTCACTGAAATGATTCACCTCCATAACGCAGAAGAATAATCCCCAAATCTAATACCATAAAACCAGGCTCTTGGGTAACCAACCTACATTTCATCAAATATTACTTTTTCCATGACTGAATCTTCATCCAAATACTCTCTCAAATGTTTTCTATGATTAATTTTCCTCAAAAATACAGTTTGAAAAAACAAAAGCAAATAAATAATATCCAGATATAGTTGCATTTAAAAATTGGCCAAAATCATTTGGAGCCATGTAGTTAATGTTATAGTGTCGTGTATAAACTAGGCATTTGTTTTCTCAGAACCGGAAATTCTAGCAACAGGTTGTGATCTTGTAACTGAAAGAGGAACAAAAAATGTCTTACTTTTGAGCTTTGCCAGGATAATTATCAGCCAAAGACTTTTAATAGAGCCCATTCACTTGAAAGATCGGATTAGCTCTTTGCTTTCTGGACTGCAAAATCCCTTCTATTTCTTAGATAAGAGCCTTGCTTTGCCACTCTCTGTTCCAATGGAAATTACTAATTTTCAGAGGAAAAAAAAGTTTTCTATAATAATGGACAAATTACTATTTTTGTACAGCAAACCTCAATGAATACTCTGAAGTGAAGATTGTTTAAATACCAAAATCTACATAAGATTGAATTAGAAATACTGTAGGCAAAACTCACTCACCTTTATATCAGCTATTGTGTGTGTGTGTATGTGTGTAAAACTAAAAGTGGTGAACATGATTTATCTTCCTGCCTCCTATTTTTCCTTCAGCAACAACCCTATTAGGTTAGTTGAGCTGAGAGACATCAACTAGCCCAAGGTCACTCAGACACCTACTTCAGGCCTGAAACTCATCATCTGGTTTCTAAACCAGCACCTTCATCACTACAGCACCTACCCTCCTCCATTATATGTATTTTATTAATACTTTTTGTGGCCGTTAGTGATTTCCAGAAGCTATAGAAAATACATAAAGCTGTTGATTACATTCTGATATAACACAAACAAATCTTAAACTAGTGGTTTTTAAAAACTAGTGGTTTTTAGCTGTACCTACACATAATTCTGAATGTACTGTAGTTTTACAGTGACATGAATCATTCCTGCACTGTGGAGAAGATCAGACTCAATAGCTTAAATTATCTCTTCAGACCTAATTCTATAGCAACTACATGGACAGGGCAATTCTGTATTTGCATATTCATTATCAAATATTTAGAAAGTCCACCTTCCATTCAGTGTTTCTCTTTACTAACAGAAATAGTCAAATTATTCCTGATCTGATTTAACAGTTTAAATAGGACTAAATAATGCTGCTATATAAACTTTTCATGCACTCTTGGAATACAATGAATCTTTGCTTGAACGACCTTGATGGGTCAAAACACTATTGCTATTTGCATTACTTCATTAAACAAGTTTATATTATTTGTATGATGTCATTATGACTGATATAAATTTTTACTAAAATGCTGTAGTGGGTTTTCAGGAATAATGAACATCTGTCACTGGTAAATGTGTTAAATTAGTTTTAACAGCTCAACAAACAAAACTTGGGAGTGTCAGGATTGTGATTGTTGAGCAAAGCAGTCAGGCAAGTGTCTCACTTTAACTATTGATAAAAGAGGGTTTGGACATAGAACATATTTTTTAAAGGAAATTCTATCGTGCAAATCCCAAGAATGTGAAAAACTTGAAAACTTAGTGTCTATATTTTTAAATATGACTGGAAAACAGCTTTGCTAAACAGACTGAAAAATCCTTCGTGCCATCTATGGTATCAGAATGTTCATTTTCTGATAGCATTCTTTTTTGCAGGCAATTTCTGCACTTAAAAATGTTTCTTCTAATGTCAATATACTATATAACTGCTTTCCTTGTAAAATACAGGCTCCACTTAATAAGTCTATTAAACAGCCCTCTGTGACTCCGGTTATTTTAATTACATGGTGGAAGTGGAAAATACCTGTCATCTTTTCCTGTCAGCACTATTTCTAATTTTGTCACAGTCTTGTAACAAGTCTCAGGGGAAACAAAATATGTTGTAAAAATCTACAAGTTCCTTCAGGGTATCATTGAACATCTGTGAAAATCTTTATTAAAGTTTTAGTAGGAAATACAATTTTAAAAACTTCCTTTAATTTTAATTTGTCTATTTCAAAGGTTATACTATTAGAAAGCAAAGCTGAATTCATAGAAAAAAATAGAAAAGTGGTTCAAGAAATTGTGCATACACTGGCTCTCTTTAAAGATAATGAGTATTCCTTTTTCATGTCATTCTAAACACATACAATAAGTCTAAAACAAAAATAAACAGTAAGGTAAAGGTTCCCCCATGTTGCGTTCCAGTTGTTTCCAGCTCTAGGGGTGGTGCTCCTCTACATTTCTAAGCCAAAGAGCCAGCATTGTCTGAAGATGTATCTGTGGTCATGTGGCCAGCATGACAAAATGTCGAAGGCGCATGGGGCCTGTTACCTTCCCACCAAAGTGGTTTCTGTTATTCTACTTGCATTTTTTATGTGCTTTCGAACTGCTAGGTTGGCAAAAGCTGGGACAAGTAACGGGAGCTCACTCCATTACGCAGTGCTAGGGATTTGAACCACTGAACTGCCAACCAGATCGACAATTTCAGCATCTTAGCCACGAAGCCACCACGTTCCTTAGAAAAAACAACTGAATAGTAAAACCAATGTTCCCTCTAATTTCTAATATGCTGTGTAGACGGGGGAGGGGAGAATCTTTGTGCAGCTTTTCCCAAACTGAATACAAATTATATAAATATCAATACAATATAAATATCTGAGTAAGTTGCAAATACCCATAATAGCATGTTAAAATATTCACATATTTATAGATTATAGAAAGTTGGGCCTTAAAATTATTTATCCCTGCTAGCAACTGCCACCTGAAGTTTCCTTGGCAACATTTTGAGAAGCGGCTGAGAGAGAGGGATCCACCTAAAGCAAGACTAGAATATAATATTCTGTTAAAATACTGAAGTTTGCTGATGACACAACAGTGACTGGTCTCATTCGACACAACGATGAATCTGCATACAGACAGGAGGTTATACAACTTGCCTCGTGGTACAATCTGGAACTGAACACACTCAAAACCGTAGAAATGGTAGACTTTAGAAAAAACCCTCCCATACTACCACCTCTTACAGTAGTAGACAACACAGTATCAACAGTAGAGACCTTTAAATTTCTAGGTTCTACTATATCACATGACTTAAAATGTACACCTAACATCAAAAACGTCATCAAAAAAGCACAACAAAGATTGTTCTGCACCAACTCAGAAAGCTCAAACTGCCCAAGGAATTGCTGATACAGTTCTACAAAGGAATTATTGAGTCCATCATCTGCACCTCTATAACTGGTTCAGTTCAGCAACCCAACAGGACAGACACAGACTTCAGAGGATAATTAGGACTGCAGAAAAAACAAGTACTACCAACTTGCCTTCAATTGAGGACCTGTATACTGCACGAGTCAAAAAAGTGCTGTGAAAATATTTACAGACCCTTCACATCCTGGACATAAACTGTTTCAACTCCTTCCCTCAAAATAATGCTATAGAGCACTGCACACCAGAACAACTAGACACAAGAACAGTTTTTTCCCGAAAGCCATCACTCTGCTAAACAAATAATTCCCTCAACACTGTTCAACTATTTACAAAGTGTGCACTACTATTACTGTTAATCTTCTCATCACTCCTTATCACCCATCCCACTTGTGACTGTAGGACTGTAACTTTGTCACTTGTATCTTTACAACTTATATTGACTGTTTCCTAGTATGATTTGATTGTTGATTGTACCCTATGACTATCATTAAGTGTTGTACGTTATGATTCTTGATTCTTAACTAATGTATCTTTTCTCTATGTATACTGAGAGTATTTACACCAAGACAAATTCATTGTGTGTCCAATCACACTTGGCCAATAAAATATTCTATTCTATATAGCCTAACACTGTAATAACTATACCCAACTGGCTCTATGCATATATTTTATGGATTATAAATTAGCTAGTCACTGATAACTGAACATTATAATGCATTGTTGCATTCACTGATCCAGAATGCAACAAGGTGGATGGCAATGGATATGCCTCAGTATGCCCATGTAACATCTTTGCTTCATGAGCTGTGTTGGTTGCCAGTTTCTGGATGCAATTAAACGTACTGGTTGTTACCATGCATGACATGGCAGAGATAGTTGAGAGACCACGTCTCTCTCCTGTCTGGTTGATTCAATATGACAGGATTGATATGGGTTCCTTCACTTAAATAATACCATTTAACGGAACCCCAAAGGTGCCCCTTCTCTGTAGCTGCACCTGCCCTCTAGAATAAGGTTCCCTCCAAGATGCAGATAGCTCCAGCTTACTAATGTTTTGAGGGGGCTTCAAGTCTGGGTTGTTCTCTCAGGCCTGTAGGGAAGTTCTCTTGGATTCTTTTCTGTACCAGTTTAATTCTGTTTTTTTGCTATATTTATCTATTTTTGCTTGCATTTTTTAAAAGTGATTATTTTACTTGTTAGCCAACTACAGTTGTCTAGAGTCAGGTACTATACACATTTAATAAGTAAAATGTTTTGTAAACATTTCAACAAAAAAGATTAAGTATTACACAAACATTCTTTATAGTGTCTCCTTTATGTTTTCCCCTCACATTCTTTCCTTTTCTTGATATATTCTAAACCTATGAATTTAAAAACTACATTTTTAATAAATTTAACAACAATCATGGATCTTGTGCTATTCTAAGCTCAACATGTATCAGATCTTTTTTTGAGAAGGAGGATAGGGTAATCTTGTCCGGAGGTTCTGGAGTCATACCTGGTGAACATCCAAATGGGCATGATCTAGATGGCTGCCTGTCATCTTAGGAGCCTCCTCCAGGAGCTCCTGCTCTTCTGTGCCACAGCAGCACTGAGTGACCCATCCTGCTTTACTTAAGCCAAGGGCTTGTGAGCTTGTGCATGGCTCCTCACAAACTGCAATTTGAAATCTCATGGTTTTATGGTGTCTAAACATATTATTTTGAACTTAGGTTTTACGTGTATTTGATTTTTTTTATACCACACATGCAGATTTGATAGTGCACACAGAGACCTTAGAAAGTACATAGAGTAGAAGGTGCATACTGAAAGTTCCAGATTCAGTTCTTAGCATATCCAGTTATTAAAACTCCTGCCTGAATGGCAAGAATCTTAGCAAGGCAGAGCAATGATCTGTTTAAAGTAGCTTTGCTTTCTTAAGTTGCCATATTTTTAACCATCAACAGGCCATATAATAAAAGTATACCTAACAAAAAGTTTTCTTTTGCTGTGTTCCCAGCACCACACCTTCTCTTCCCCCTGGCAAACTTCCCACATTGCAGGCTGAAACAAAAGCTCATAAAACATGTCTGAACAGTCACACAAAGTAGTCCCAAAATGTTTTCCACTTGATGTGGGTTCAATGAATTGATTTTGACTTTATCCTTTTAGACTCCATTTAAATGTATCTCTATTACTGACTTAGTTCTTGCTATTTCATAGTTACTTCCACAGCAATGCAAACACGACTAGTTTTAATAAGAGATTAAAAATGGCTTTAAATCTATACAAAATTCCGTTTAACTCAGATTTGTCTATATTGAGATGGGCAAACCTAAGACTTGCAGGATCTACAGCTTTTTTTTACTACCAGCCAGGGCCTGATACAAAGAAATGCATTAAATATTAAAGAATTTTGCGTGTAAGAAAAAGATTCCATACTTTAGCTCCATTCCATAGCATGGCGTGGAACCAAATAAAGGTGATTTTGTGACAAGCTCTGATATAGATTTACATGCCAAGTCATGTTTAAGTAAATCCCTAAGTAAACAGGAATTGATACAGTCTACATATTACAAGGTAAACAATCCATTCAGCAAATTAGAATTTATAACTTGCAATTTACATGGGATTCTTTATAAGTTTAAAATAAAACAATATAGCAAGTGCAAATGTTTAGTCTGTTGATTTTTTTTCTTGTCTTGGCGTAAAGTCATTAAGCCTTCAGAATGTGATTGATTCATTAGACTTAAATTACCCATTCAAGACAATTTCACAAATGAAAAAAAATAATAAAACTTTTCAGGTTGTATTGATTTTTCTACTTTCAAAAAACAAGGGCAGCTCTTCTGTCTAGGCATTTGAAAATGAAGATAATTCTCTTACAAAGTGGGAAAAATCTATTCTGAAACATCTTTGACTTTTCCAGGTAGCATTTGCAGCTGTGTGAAACATTAAGAAATTAAAATTACATGGAATTGTGGAAGACATATCAAATATCAAGAATTTTTTTTGCTACAACCTCCCTTTAGTAAGGTTCCAGAACTCATAAATCATTGTAAATTTAACTGGTACTGTAGAAGTAGTCTGCAATGTTGTACAGTATTGCTTATGTAACCACAATCTGCATGTGTCAAAAGGAAATCTTTTCTCCAATCATTGCACAAAAGTCATTGTCTATATACATAAAAGAAAATCT